CCCCAAAACCCCAAAACCCCAAAACCCCGAGAAGGACAAGAGAAATTGATATATTATATTTGAGCTTCATAAGCCAACATATATGCATTTTCTGGGTCTACCTCCTCATATCTGCATGAGAAAGCATCCTCGTCATTGAAATAATACCAGTTGAGGCCTCTTCTACAGTAAGCATAGTAGTTGCCACAATTTAGATCTCCAGAATGACAGATTACAGCCCTTAGACTGTATTTGATCTCTTCTCCTTTATGTTCTTTCAAAGAGAATTCATTGGGATACAAGACAATATCATTGCTCTTTCTTTGAAAGCCTTGGTCAAATCTTTGGATAGACAACATAAGATATTTTGGAGTCTTGACTACCCTCTTGATTATTGCTCAAGTGCCTTGATTGTTTCATCATGATCATTCAAATTCAGAAAATCAAGTCTCTGTGGAGTCTTGAAAAAACTTATCGATCGTTGGTCCTGTTCTGCCATATTCTATTGGAATAGGAATATTCTTGAACTCCTCATAAACCTCTTTCTCGAATGTACATAAGTCTCATTTGAAGACTGTCTCATACATTCCAACAAAGAGTTCGTCAATGATGGAAGTATGAGACTCTTGGTATTCCTTCCATGCATCAACAGGATTGGTATGATTTGAGGATGGGTAAGAGGCATCAGCAGGATTAAGCTCATTCTGTAAGCTTTCAAACAAGTGAAGCATATATTTACTAGCATCATGCTGATGATTTGGATGAAACTCTCTTTCCGATAGTTGTCTGAATTTTATAACCTTTATTGTTCGAGTCTTAGATCTGGCATAAGTTTCGAATAGTTTCGCCATTTGAGAAGTAAATGGTTTATTCCTAACTATCTCCTTAAAGTTCAGAGTAAAGAAGTTTCCAAGAGCCAAACCTATGCCTGATTTGTGCCCTTCTAAGTAGTCTGTAAACTCAGGGATGGAGAAGAGCATCTGAAGGATAACTATCATAAATCAATTATTCACCTAAAATACAAGTTATATATACTCTTCACTAATTGTCTGAACTCTAAAAATGGTGAAGACACCATTCTATTTATATAAAACTCCTAATCTCCAACTTCTCTTAGATACTAGCTTATTCTCTACTATTGAATTTACCAAAATCATTGTTTACCCCACTGGAGCCCTACTACCGCTTTCTTACTGATTTATTGTGCTTGTTCTGGATCCCTTTGTAAACCGCCTTTGGCTTCATTGGCTCAAGTACATAATCCTCTTTCTGAATAATTTGGACTTCATCAATTTGATCAGAATTAGAGCTCTTATCTGAAAAGTGCTTCTCTTCTTCATTAGGACTTAAAGAAGGGATTGACCACTTCTCTTCTTCAAATCAGCCAGAAAAACAATGGCTTCTATATGAACTAGCCTCATATTCGAAATGGCTAACTTCTTTGCTCTCCTCAAGCTTTCTTAAGGAGCTGGAATTTAAAGAATAAGAAGGGTGGTCCCTTCTTGCTTTGTCATAGCTTTCAGACCAATCTGAGTCTCTGAGCTTTTGAGTCATCTCCTTGGAGTCTTTGAAGCTTTCGTCTGACTTGATTTCTTCAGGGATTGCCTCTTGTTCAGGATTTGGTGAAGATTTGGCTTCTTCATATGAGTAAGAAATGTTTCTTTGGTGGGTGTAAGAACTGAGGCCATTACTTTGGTCATCTTTAGCCTCAGAGTTGGTTTCTTGGGTAAAATTCTCGTTTGGTTCTTCCTGAATTTGGTGCTTGAGGTTGGACAAAGGAGCCTCTTTAAGTTCAGGGTTCAGGTTTTTAGTTGGAATGTCAGCAAGATAGGTTAGAACCTCAAATATGTGATCCCTTGGAGCATCAGGAGCATCTTCTGAATTCTGGGAAAGGTCATCTTCTTTGTAATTTTTAATAATTGCACTAAAAGATTCGCTGTGAATTCTTTGAGTTAGATTTTCTAATACTTTTTCTCATTCAGGATTCTTGCTGATGACACCGCGCATAGCTTGAATAATTTGTAAAGCGATCATCAATTTCTGATGATCTTGTTGTCCTTTCTTAGAAGCGTAGTTGATGAATCTATGATGTATGTCTCTACCGAATGGCAAAGAGTTAGCATAAGTCTGGCAAGCTTTGAAATGGCTCTGAAGGGTAGGAGTTTCGTGCTCCTGAATATAATCACAAAGTTGGCCAAGAACTTCTAAATTTTCTTGCATCTTCTACAAATTAGATATTATTAATTATTCCAACATCTCAGAAACAGCTCGGGGTTTTGGGGTTTTGGGGTTTTGGGG